TGAATTCATTGATATTCTATATGTCTTTTCATATATTAATTTTGTGCCCATTCGGTCACAACCCATCCTTAACAAGGGTATTCTGTTGAATGCCTCTGTTAAGATACGAGTGTGCTTCGTTATGCGGCCTTGCTTGTTCCATACTCCCAGAGAGTGGAGTCTTAGAGACGTCCTCATTGCCGCTTCCTCTATCTAAAGGTTAAGAGGTGCTAAGCAAAGAAAAGCCTCCAGAGCCGTTGTGGGAGTGGTTCTCATTAGTCCTCTAGCACTAAGACACGCCATTCTTTGAACGTGTTCAAGTTGCAGGGATGTTGTTTTTTGTCTGGCTCTAGGCCACCAAACTAAAGTTCCATAGCACAGCATCGCATCGGTCTGACTATTACCGTGTAGATCCAGAGGGCGATGTTGGGATTTAAACCCCACGACCTTCCCACCACCCTACGACATTGCCAAAGAGCCGAGCGTGCTTTTTCCACTTTATCATCTACATGCTCCTTCCAATTGAGTCGCCAGTCCAATACAAAATCCAGGTATTTGACTTCATCCGAAAGTTGAAGCGTTGTGTTAAATAGTTTTAGCATCTGTAGTGTGCCAATTTTCCTTTTCCTAGTGAACAGAATGACTAGATCGTCTGCGTACTTCATCGCCTACTCTATACGATTTACAACTGTGTGTAGGGCCGTATCGGTGGATCTTCCTTGGATGTAGGCATGTTGGTTCGGATGTAGAGGTTGCTTATTGCTCAAAGCAGTCTCCCGAATCTCTTTTTCGCTTAGTCTTTCTAGCGTTTTCAGCAAGAATGATGTTAAGCTAATTGGTGTGTAGGATTTAGCCAAGGTGTAATCTTGTCCTCCTGGCTTAGGTATAGAGATAACCTTTACTTTTCGCCATGCATTCGGTATGTAGCTGAAAGCCAGACATGCCCGAAGCATTGGCAACAAAATAGGGCGTAGTCTGCTTATTCCCCTCTGCAGAAGGGTGGGATAAATACCGTCAACTCCCGGAGATCTATATGGGGAAAAGCTGCCCACTGTCCACTCCAGTCTTGCCTCCGTGACTACTTTTGCCGCTGGTAGAAAAGAGATGTTGAATAGGATTTTGTAGTGAGTTAATGACAATTTCTGGACGAATCCTAGCAATTTCGTTACGTAAGTAAGTCTTCATTGTCTTCGATGTGAATCGGTATATTGATATAAATGCGATTCTTCAAATAGCCCCACAAAAAAAGTCAAGCTGTCTCAAATCCGGTGACCTGGCTCAACAGTACCCCTTTGGCCTATCCATCTACCAGGAAAAGTTTCATTTAACTACTGCCGTACTTGACGTCGAATGGGGTAGAGCACCGTCTTGTTGAAACTTGGTAACTCCGGATTTTGGTAATTGGAAAACAATTCTCTAAGTCTAGGTACTACACGTTCCCGCAACAACCTTAAGTGTCCCTTAGAATTTAAATTGCCATTATTAAAAAAAAAGGAGCAATTACATAGTAACCAATAATATCGCACCAAACATTCAGTTGTTCTCGACGCTGTGTGTGGATATGCTCCATCCAGTATGGATTTGTATCAGACCAGTATTTGCACTTGTGTCTGTTCACACAACCATTTAAACAAAACGTAGATTCGTCAGAAAACGAACTCCTGTTGATAAAATTTCCGTCTTGTTGTATTTTGTGTCCATAATTTCAACTCTACTATAAAAATCATCTTCGTTTAACTCTTGTACCAATTGGATTTTGGATGGCTGAAGCTTTTTCTTTTTCATTATTGTTTGAATTGAGTTTCTGCTAACATTGTGATTCAGCGCTAATTGTTCTATAGACTTTTGGGGTTTTCTGTTGCGTCTAAAAGGACATTAAGGGCATTTTCATGATTTGCAGCAGTTTTTGGCCTGCCAGGTTTTGGACATTTTTTAACACTTCCAGTTTCATTAAATCTTCGTTGGGTTTTTGAAACGGTCGACTTAGAAATGGGTTCTCGTTCAAGTTGAATTTCATTGAAAGGTGTTTTTACTTGAGCATCGTTTATGCGCTCGGTTTCAGTTAGATGCACCATTTTTGCAACAACACCTTACATGTCAAATTAAGATTATTTTCAAAGGTAGCTATGTCATTTTTCTTTTTTTATTTATTTTTATTTAAAATAATGTATTTTCCCATTTCAGTTAGAAAGAAACTATAATTGTACTACATCAATGAATTAAAAAAAAAACTCTATTCCAAAATGCATTCATTATATGGTAGTGCTATTTAAAAAAATTCAAATTGGCTTCGCATCCCGAAAACAAATGAAGAAAAAAATTTTGACAATTAACGGTTGTTTTGGAAAATATAGCAATACTCATTCACTTAGAAGTGTTTTATCCAGAGATACTTTAGCTGTAATATGAGGTGATTGTTAAACAACAAAACATAAAAATTAGAAAATGTGCTCTGTCTTCTTATGTCTGATGCGTCACGATACAATATGCAACAAAAATCTGCCATTGTAGATTTGTTCCAAAAACTTTGATACCGATCCTCCATAGTTTTAATGTCTTGATCCTTTCCTTGGAACCTGAAGATTTCTTTATACCTAGAAAGTTTGAACAAACCCATTTGAAACTGCCCAAGCTGTATGTTGTATTTCAAAGTTTGTGCAGTGTCTTTTACTTTTGCGTCATTGATCTTCGGAAATTTTTGAATTAAGTACTTAAAGTCTTTAGACTTACTTTTAACTATGGCTTTGACAAAACATTTAATAAGACCAAGTTTTATATAAAAATGGAAGAAATATCTTGACTTTTCCTCGTTCATAATAGAAAGCTAATGACGCATAATCCAAACCACGCTATTTGTGCTGTCTATCAGCGATTTTGAGGAAAGTTATAAATGAGGTTTTCACATCTTATCGTGGAACATAATGAGCAAGAGGAATAGAATGTTTTGAGTTTCCATTATGTAGGAGCACTGCCTTAAAACTACTCTAAAATAAGTTTTTAAAGCATTACTTCTGGATGGGTAGTGACTCACTCGTACATTGTTTTTTTCTTAATCGGGATGTAAGAACTTCAGTCTTTTTTGTTTGGCAAAGAAGAATTTCTCATAAGATCACTAATCAGTTCATCTTTGTCACATTTCTGTAGTTCTTAGTTATCTTCAAGGATATATTCATTGCCCTGACTGTTGTCGTTAGGCAGAGACTCTCTTGTACTATCCATTTTATCTTCTACAGGTAATGTACCAATACCTAGGACGGTGTGGAAGGTGTAAATTGTCGTCATATAAAACCGTTCTTGTTAGAAAGTTTATGGTAAGATAAGTCATTTTGTTCTTATTTTTTCGTCAAAATTTCACCAATTTTGACGCACGCCTTAAGTTTAGTAACTGAAGTTATCTGGAATCGATATGAAGATGGCAGTGGTTTAATTTCCAACGTAAAGAAAGTATTTTTTAAAGCTCATTTGAGTACCAAGCCTTCCAGAGAGCCTTACCGGATTGTCCATTGCCTCCAGAACCAGTCCTGACAAGATGAGGTTCATGGACTGAAGCGGCAATATAATATTCCGATTATTTTGACGATACAAAAAAGGTGCGTTTATTGCTATTCATAATTTTGTTGTGTAAGTCTAAGTTACACTTTTTAGGTTATTATGGAATTTGACTTCGCAGTATCGAAATGCATCGCCGATGTTCAATTCCATTTGTTTCTAACAAAAGCATTTCAAACACAATTTGGCTTATATAAAAACCCATTTTACCATCTTAAAAACAATGTATAATTAGATTGGAGACCACTTGGTTGAACTTAAGTCAGTCTGTGGATATAGTTGAGCAATTGTATAAACAATTGGAAGATATCCCGGGGAGAGTAGGTGAAATGGCATTTAAAAAGCTGCAAAATACTTTTCAAAAAAATACCGCGTACCAAGGCTTTAAATTTGTCACCAAAGTATTCAAGGCGAAACTGTAGAAAAATACTTAAAAATGAAACCTACCGAAATTTCTAATTTTAAATATTCTCCTTTAGCATCGTATGATGTTGAGGGATCTTTCTCTAGGTATAAAAATGTCGACATATAGAAAAATATCTGATTTGTTGTGCAAATTTTAACGAAGATTAGTATTGCTGATGTAAAATAATAAAATAAATGTAGTCAAAGAAAACCAGACGTTGCGTTTTTTTTTTTTAAACTCACCTAAAGCGCCTATCTTGCCATTTTAGGGCATATTTTGTTTTTTTTACCCTAAAATCCGCTCTTTATTAATTACTTGAATTGAAATATGTACATATTAATTGTTTCCTCAGCTTTCTAGAGTTTTATTTGTTTTATCACGCTAACGCTTTTCAATGCAAAGTGAAGGCACAGTGGCAGTTTCTATCAATTAGATGGAACCTAATTCTAAAAAGTGCACATTTACATAGCAAAGAAGCTATAAAAACTCTATTATGTGTATGTGATTTTATTGAAAACCAATGCAAAGTAAACTCGATTCAGTTGTATCCTAGTAAAATTTTATTACACCAATCAATTAAAAATTTTAGACTACCGAACCGCAATCGTAAATTTTGTCAATGGCTATTTGGTGCAGACACAAAACGGCCGGCCATGCACATATAGCAGACACTAGCCTTTTTCGGCTGTAAATCTTTTGCAATTGTTAACCTACCGATATTTGTCTTCGTCATTATCCGCTATAAAATTTTACTAAAGTACCTACATCTCAAACGAATTAAATGTACATGTGTACTGTCAAGGCGGCTTATTTTAAATTCAACTTTTTTATTTATTAAGCTAATCAAAGGTATTTCCCAAAACATTTTCCTTGTGTTTGTTGTAAATGTCTGCACATTGCTTTCGATAAAGCAATAAAAATAAGCGAGTAAATGTGTTTGTTAATACTTATTTAATGTACGTGATAATTGATAAAACTAATCAGACCAAAACTAGTTAACCCCACCATTACTCTGTAGTCATAATAATCATGTGCACATATCTTGTTTACATTGCTATGAATACAAAACAAATTTTTGGTTAAAATGTTAAATCATTGGTTCAGTGTCCGCTAATTTATCTTAAAATGTATCACGTGTTTCTAGATTAATTCTTAACCTTAAACAATATCACCGGAATTTTTGAAGAAGCATTATTAATTGTTACATATGTCTTGTAGGTACTGTAAACGAAACAAAACAATGAATGGCTTGCAAATTCTTTTTTTACTTTACACATTAATGTGTACATGTAAAAGTTATAAAATTCTAGCCGTACTTCCAATGCCTATGCACAGTCATTACACTTTATCATCTATTCTCGTAGACGAGCTTGTAAGTAGAGGGCATGAAGTCACCTTCGTCACCCCATTTCCAAGACACAAGGATGTCGAGAATTTGAAAGAAGTTTCTGTGGAAGCTGTAATCTCAGCATTAGACGGTAAGTGACATATACATAGTCTTTTTCCCTAACACTAATTTTACATTAAAGGTGTCAAGAAACAACTGTATAACCTCAACGATTTATCAGTTTTCGGTAGTGTACAATTTTTGACAAAAATGGGTTATATCATGACCGAAGACGTTTTAAAAAACTCAAATGTACAACAGCTCTTACAATCTAAAGAAAAGTACGACGTTGTTATTATTCCTCAGTTTCTGAACGAAGGTTTATTAGGGATTGGGTGCCATTATAAAACTCCTGTCGTTCTTATAGCACCAATGCCTCTTTTCGCTTGGGGCAGTTTCGTTCTTGGACTACCGTCTCCATCCTCTTACGTACCGAACCTTTTAACCCCCTATACAGGACACATGGATTTTTGGCAACGTTTTTACAACACCTTTTACGACATTTGCTCAATTCTGTACCACCAATACATAATTCTTCCAAAACATAGAGAACTAGTACGAAGATATATACCAACCAAGCCAGATTTGTATAGTTTTCTCAACAACGCGAGCTTATTATTAGTTAACTCACATGTGAGTTCATATGATGCAACACTACAAGTACCAAATGTTGTGGAAATTGGTGGTCTTCATATAAAAGAACCGAAGAAACTGCCACATGATTTGCAAGAATTTTTAGATAATTCCAAAAATGGTGTTATATTGTTTTCCATGGGTTCTAATTTGAAATCGTCTTCTTTAGACGGAAAGAAAAGAAATGCAATTCTTGGAGCTTTTTCTAAACTGAAAGAAAAGGTGTTGTGGAAGTGGGAAAATGATAGTCTTCCTGGACAACCCAAAAACGTTAGATTAATGAAGTGGGTGCCACAGTGTGATGTTTTGGGTTTGGAGTTGTTGTTAGCGAAATGTGATAACTATAATGTATTAAATTTCTAGCTCATCCTAATGTTAAAATATTCATTACGCATGGAGGACTGTTCAGTACTATGGAGAGTATATATCACGGAGTACCTGCAATTGGAATTCCAGTTTTTTCGGATCAGAAGTTGAATATGGCTACTGCTGTTTCTAATGGTTATGCCCTAGTAGTACCTTTTGACAAGTTAACCGAAAGTAAATTAAGCAATGCGATTAATGAAGTTTTGAATAACCCCAAGTACATTTTTAATTGGTTATAAATGTTCGTAAAAATCAACAAGTAAATTGCAGGTATAAAAATAATGCGATGAAACGATCGAAAATAATCAAGGACCGACCCGTAAAACCGTTAGATCATGCTATTTATTCCATCGAATATGTAATTCGTCACCAGGGAGCTTCACATCTTAGGTATTCTGGGATGGACTTAAATTGGTACCAACGGAACGTTCTGGATGTTGTTGGTCTCGTATTGATCACACTGGTAGCTACATTATGTTTAATTTGTATAGCTTTGAAAAAGATTTGTAATTTATGGCTAACAGAAGAACGTATAATTAAAAAAATGAATTAGATCCATTAATTTTTAGAATAACTTGGTGAGAGAAAACTATGATTTAGATCAATTTGTCCTTGTGTATCTAAAAAAATAATAAAATAAATTAAAGGCAACTTAATATAAGCAATAGTTCTTTTTGTTTTATTTTATCGGAATTCGCATTGATATGATGTATATCTATTAGAAATTCTGGATCTAAAAAATCCGGCTCATTTTTTGAAAAAGGGTAAAGCGTCACATTACACTGAACGTTACAAATTTGCTTTTTACTCTTTAACAGTGACTATTGTTTGTCCATACAACTGAATAACGGGAAAAAGATTCTTACTTTCATACTTTGTCTACAAGGGTTCATTTAGAGTTAGCTGAAGTCATATAAAGCTTTTTGTAATTTTTCCGAAAAGGCAAAGCATTATGTAGAACTACAGAGCTACAAACTGTGAAAAATGGCAACTGCATCAAGTGGTACGAATAACTGTGATGTTACGCCAAAAGTACTACTTTTGATATTATATACACAAACATATTATTTCACCGAATATTGTAGACTATACCTAGTACTTAGTTGGAAAATGTGATAAAGTCAACTGTGTTCAATGGCAATTATTAACTAATACACACAACTGGCCTTTTGCCATCCAATAGCAAAGTAACCAACCCACACAAATATATCACTCTATATCATGAAATAACTGGTAGTTAAAAACATAAAAATACTGAGTTGGTTTTGTCCTTTAATATACATAGTGAATTGAAACTACACATATTTTCTAAAAAATATTAAAGAAAGCTGAAAAATTCATAGCATCAAAAAATATTTTCAAGTGTTATAAAAGAACAGCTTATTAACTAATCTTTGCTGTTGGCTTACAATCTTGTAAATTTGTGGTTCTGAGGATACTTTACGTAGCGTAAGCAAAATCTGTTAAATCTAAATAAGGGCGACTTTTTTTAATAAGTTTCAGAAATGACAGTATGTTTTTGTTATTTATATCACCGTGTACAAGTCCATAAAGAAGGGAGGCAATCTCAAGTTGGAATTGCGATATCGTAAGTCCCATTAATATGGGAGCTGCGATGCCAGTAGTTGCGATTCACGATTGCGATTACGGAACTACTGTTATCGCATTTTCCATAGCAACGAAGACTTGCGATATCGCAAATCCAACTTGCGACGGCAATATCGCTGAAAATATGTCTTTGTTTTAAAGAATCTAACGTAAATTCTTCCAGAAGTGTTTTCTGATTAACTTGTACAATAGAATATTGTCGGATTATAATTTAAAAAGGAAAATGATCAAATTTGGATGAAATCAATGAACAATAAATGGATTTCAGTAGCGATGTGTGCAAATCTTCAGTACTTAATGACATGAGCCATATCATTTGTATAAATTAAGAGTAGGAGAGGGAGCTGTTTTAGAACCCTGAAGTACACCTGAGAGTTATCTATAATGCTAATATTATTGTGTTGATTCAGAAAATCAGAAGTCACACAGCTTAGCAAAAACTCGGTTGTGAATGGTGCGATCAAAAGCTTTAGCTATTTACATCTATCTGCTTGCTTTGATACAACTCTTCAGAAAGATTCTGTGTTACTGAAGTCTTATCTCTACTTTCAATCTTTTAGTTAGTTTCATTTACTTCTATTTTTTTGCTTTACCACTATGGTTCTTTTGAAGCCTTTTCTGTTTATTTTCTTCTTTTTTGCCTTCTTTTTCTTCCTTCAATTTTTCCTTTTCTTCACTTATTTTTTTGTATGGCGTTAAAGTAAGTACTAAAGAAACACGTTCGACTTGTCGTTTCGTGCTCTTTCGGGAGTTTTTGTTTTCAACAGAAAGTCTTCAAGATTTGGTTTATTTTCTGCTTCCAGTTCTGTTATTTCAGCTTGATCCACATTTTCTTCGGAACTATCTACAGGTTCCACATTCAAATTGGCTTTTACTCCAAACAATAACTTTTCGTTTTTCTTCCACATATCCGTCTCCCTTATTAATGTTTCATGTTTTGTCCAAATATTCCATTTTATTAACGTCTTTTTATTTTCGTTTAATTATATCTTGTAAAATAACTAGGAGTATTTTGGAATTGCTGGTTTTGATAATATTATTGTTTGAAAGGTGTCGTCGGTTCTTTGATTTTATTTTTTTTAGGTATATTACCTATTAAAAAAAATCCTTGCAAAATAGTGTCTTCGAAATTTTTGTTTTCATTTTGCTGTGATTCATTTTTTTCGTAGTTTTTCTTCTTTCGTTGCGATCTTTTTCTCTTCATTGTTCAATGGAAATGGTAATATATCATTTTCTGAAATACTTATATCCTCTGAACTCGTTTTAACATTTACATAATCAATTGTGTTCGGATTCCAATGTAAACCACAAGCTTCGAAGCCACTAATAATAGTTTCTGGTTTTAAATACGAAAGCGATTGTTCTAAAATTGGAGCAAAATGTTCTTTGCCTAATTTATAACATGGATTTTTTGTACGCCCATCAATTACTCTCATTCTTCCATGGAGATTTTAACGGTCGAAAATTTGAAATACTTATCTGCGGGTTGTAGAATTCTGGTTGCGTTGGGAATAGATATATGATTATGACCATCAAAAAACAAGACGACTGGCAATTCTGTATAATTTTCTTGAAGAAATGGATGGAATATATGTTTCATATAATCTATGAGGACTTCAGTTTTCATCCACCGTTTATATTATCGACTTTTTTGTTGGAAACGATACACAGTAAAAAAAGTTGTGTCGTACAAACTGCTAAACGTTGATTTTTACTATATCTCAGTTCCAACAAATAAAAGTATATCTAATATGATTTCTAAAGTTTTGTAAGCTGAAAACAGTGGTGAAAACCGCGTTCCAAAATTTCCATAAATAAACTGAAGTATTGATTTTTTAAAATAAGTGATACAAAAATTTTAACAAAACTTAGAAAATATATGATAATAAACTGTTTAAAAAAACAGCCTTCTCATTATATGGTGAAGGTTATGGACAGGTTACATGTAAAATTTCATAACAATAAGTGTGTTAATAATGGAGATATTACATTCTGAAAATATGTTGACAACACTGTAAAAGCCAAACGTAGCGACTCCGCTTAACCCCGTTCCCCAATCTCCAGAAACGCTCTCGTTAATTGCTTTAGACAGTCTTTTGTTTGGGTAAATTATTAAGGGAGGTAGAACTTTTCCAGAAGCAGAAATAGAAAACATCACGATTAAATTTTATTTCGGGTCACCTGTGACCACTTTATAGGCATTTTTGTACCTTTTGGTGCAATATTGAAATAATTTTTTTTCCAAGATTCAAATAAAATTGAAAGCAGGTTTCATCTCCATTAAAGGCATGAAGGCTCCTCTAAGATTTTCATCTAATCTTTTTATTTAAAATAATTTTCAATTTCTTGAAACCCTCCCCGGATGTCATTTTCTTAAACATTTGGGGACGCTGGTGTCACACCTTCGAGAGTCCTTTCTGTAAGAATACTATAAAAATAATTGGTACCAGTAGTTTCCAGGAATGTTGTTCTTAAAAGAATTCGGTCTACTGATGACTTCTGGAAATACTTGAACTGATTGTCGCACGTCAATTTTTCTTCTGGGAAAGCCTTTTCTATGACTTTCTAGAATCCATTCAACTAGTGCCTACTCTTCATCTTTGGTTAAATAAGTATCTCGGCTGAGTTCACATTTTCTTAAATTAGAGCCAGACTTAACATCATTCAATGCTTCTGCAGAATGTTTTGTTTGTATTTTTTGGAATACTTTTTGTTTTTTGGAGTTTTCGGCATCTAAAAGTGTATGCAAAAATTATAAATCACAAATACTAATATTTATCGCAATTTTATTTTCACTTTATCCATTGATTGGCAGGTATGCCAATAATTAGAATTTACCAAAAATCAGAAGCTAAATGTTGGCACCCAGAAAATATATCTGAATAGTAAGGTTAGAAGCATTTTTCAGTAAAACTAGTAAAAACAATGTTACTTTGGTGACTAGGAATAGTTGTCAGCAAGATAATACACATATTACTCGTAATTTACTATAAAATCATGAGCACGTTTCTTATAAAAAAGCTTATTTTTTTACCTTTACAGTGATCCCACGAAACAAATTGGCGCTCAAATACACACCATACTAGTTGAATTCAAGCGCAAAACACTATTGTGCAAAAAAACGTTGCCACGTTTCACTAAGCATTATATCTGTTGTAGGGAAAAGCACAGTTTTATAAACGGAAATAGTGAAAATGTGAAGACCGTGCCAATCACTGGGAGAAGGTCAAAGTTGGGTGTTTTACCCCATAAATGATTCTGGTCAAAAGTTGTTCTGGAATTTCATTTGTTAATTATTTTGTCACCTTATTCACTTAATTTACGCTAATGATGTAACTAATTACACAGTTGAATGATTGAAATTGACTAGCATATCGATTGCAGAAAACTCATGATAAAGTTGTAAAGGGCAGCATATATTTGTTTTAGTTTCACGCCCTTGATACCAGAATAATTTTCAGAGACACATTGTAGGTATATGTGTAATATTTGATGTAGAAATCTTAGCTTTGTGGTACAAGTGAAAGCAATGATCGTATATTTTTGTACGATAGAAATTAATTATAGAGAATTGTAATTTCGTTAACATTTCTCTTAAAGTTCTGAGAGTCTTAGAAGTAAACAATCGTTATAACTTAGGTACACTAACTAAACTAGGTTAGCTTAATTATCACCAGTCAATTAATTGTTAAAAAGGGATGAACAGTCCCTCGGACCTGTCGCAATTAGTACCTATTACAGCCGCAACTGTGCGCTACAGTGCTGTGAGATCTACAAAGTAGAAACACCAAATGAGATTATTTAGTTGCGAGCTAATGATAGGTTGAACTTCTCCCACAGTAAAAAATGCCGTGAAAACATCGCCACTTAAAAATTAACAACAGTGTTCGAATAATTTATACTTATACCAAGCATATCTATGTGATAAAGATCTCATATATCAAGTATTGAATATTACGGAGTAAAACAATAATCAAACAAGTACTGTGGAGAACCGGACATAACAGAGGGTGCAATATTGAGTTCACAGGGCAATATATAACCTGTTCAATATCCT